AACGAAACGAAACGAAACGAAACAGCATTGCGTTTCTCCGATGCAATGTTCGCCTTCTGATCACCTTCCTATAGGTTACGATATTTGCATAAAACGAGAGAGGTTAACGTTTGCTTATGATAGATGGATACGAAGTACTCTCGTGTTCCTCGTAACACGACAAGTGGAAAGTTCGTTAATGAATTTGCCGTGATGGAAATGCCACGTTTCCCCTCCACCTTCCTCACCCCTCGGCCATCACCCCCGTGCCGCGAGCAGGATCCTCTCTCGGCGCGAAATGCGCGAAAAAGGAAATCGATGTTGGCCTGGCCAATGCAAATTTGCGTTGCACTTCTTCCCCGCCGATAGATTGACAATCATATTTCGTAACTAAGTGAGAAGATGTCGATTCGAAGCATTTAGAATCGGGAATTGACTGAATGATACTTGACTATCGGCTGTGCAGCTATTAATAAGTAAACAACAAGTATGTATGTTTCGTTTCGAACGTTTGCATAGTGAGTGGCATTAATGCCTGGAGAGCATGATGCGCGAACAGTTGGCGATTTTTATATATATATATTTCTCGTTGCACTAATAAGCAATCTTCTCGGTAAAGATAATTTCATCTTGACGAATTAAGGGATACGTTTAATATCGATAACGAAAAAGAGACCAAAAACTTGAAAGGTAGATACATTTTTAGACAAAAATTCTAACATTCAATTTCTGTATAGTATATCGTTTCGCAGAATTCTGTCGTAAGTTTCCTTTTTTTTTTTAAAAATAATTGAAGATCTCGTAAGTTATTATTTGAAGCTAAATTTTTGAGCAATGACTAAATATTTTTCTTTGTCAGTGATTAATAATAAGAACGTGATAAGTTAAATAGCGTAAAAGCTATTATAATAATAATTTCTAATCTTTGAACAAAAATATGTGAAACATGCAATAAACATATCGCACGCAATAGAAACGTATTTTTATTGCATAAATATTCGCAGTCTGTTAATAAGAAGTCGTTGAAGACCATTAATCTCGTCAAAAATTCTCGTCGAGATATTCTGTGCTTTCCTCGACGAAACTTTCCTTTATTATCATTACAAATATCCGAGGCCGTTCGAGAAAGCTACTTGAGATACGTTTAGCAGTCGATGTACTACCTGCCACTGAATACCAGTCGAGCGACATCGTTCGAAGAAAAAACGAAGAAGAAGAAGAAGAAGAAGAAGAAGAAGAAGAAGAAGAAGAAGAAGTGGACGGTGGATTTTGTAGAAAGAGACGCGAGATGATCGATGATCGTCTCGTCGATTAGCCAAGCCATCGATCACCTGCGACCTCGCGTCATCCGACATCGCGCATTGTTAGTGACAGCCTCACTTCCGGTACCTAAACGACGAACGATAACACTCTCGCGACACTGGGAAGTCTTCACGACGAAAAGATTTGGCTACAGGCACGAGTGTCTATTTTAATGGCGCTGTTGATTAAATTTAATCGCGACTCATGCAATTAACTCAAGACGTGGTTTCTCTTCGAACGACTGTTGCTTGCTGTTGTTAACTCGAGGGAATTTTTATTTTAGAGAAACGTGTAACGAGTGGAAGGAAGTGATGCTCGCTTTGCTTATAGGAATGTTAGTCGAATAGAATTAATTACGTTTGTCTTAAAATTCGCGTATTTTGTTTATCTGATTGTCGATCGTTTATCTCGATCATCGTGATAAAACCTTGGTTTTCAACGTTACTTTTAATTTCCATTCAAAAAGTCACATCCATCTTGAGTAGAAATTTGCAATTTTCATTTTCAAAGAAAATGCACGAGCAAAGAAAGTGTTGTTTGTTTTGTTTTTATATGAAACTGTGTTGTACGTTGAATGAAAATTATAGGAATGTTAGTTAAACAGAACTAGTCACGTTTCTCTTAATTACTCGAAAAATTCGTGGATTTTGTTTATCAATCACATTTATCTTGATTATGAGATTTCACCTTTCAATGTTACTTTTAATTTCAATTTGAATTTCACATCTGTCTAGACCATGTAATTTCTCAATTTTTTGTCAACGAAGTATCTGTTAAAGGAGTAATATTCAAAACGACGTTGCCAATGAACTCAGACTTGTATATGAATTACAGGAAATCAGTTCTCAGTTCTTTAAAAGCAACTCTTTCAATGTTTCACAATGTTTACTCGTACTTCTTTCAACAAATTCGATGACGAATGTGTCACAACGCAGTCACGAGAATTTCCACCCGATCGTGTCAGTATTCAATATATACCAAATATATCGAAAATACCATTTTCTCGAAAACACTCGTGCCGAACCATCCGTTGCGCCATTCAATATATTTCTTCCTATCGCGGGACCCCGCAAGTACGAAACGGAAACTGATACGCTAGAAGGAAGGTGGTGCAAGAGCCTGCAGAGCTCTGACCCACTTTAGCAGCTTCTATATCGGCGAGGGAACAAGACGGAATGCTACCAATGCTACGGGGTACTTTCACTCGGAAGGCTCGTTCCTCGTTCACAGCCGGGACCGAGATCGCGCGCGCCACGCTGATCGATTGTTTTCGAAAGGTCGCCGCCTGGTCCTCCATTAATCAGTTTCCCATTAATACCTGCGGGCGCCTCTCTTTCTAGAATCTAGCTGAAAGGTCACCGCCGATCGTTTTATCACTTTTCGAAATATCGCTCATCCTCTTCGTGGATGTTCTGCTCTCCTCACGCTGTCTGGGCGATAAACCG